AGTACAACAGTAATGAACATGTTATGTATTTGGAGTACAACAGTAATGAACATGTAATGTATTTGGAGTACAACAGTAATGAACATGTAATGTATTTGGAGTACAACAGTAATCAACATGTATAGTACAACAATAATGAACATGTAATGTGTTTATAGTACAACAGTAATGAACATGTTATGTATTTGGAGTACAACAGTAATGAACATGTAATGTATTTGGAGTACAACAGTAATGAACATGTAATGTGTTTATAGTATAACAGTAATGAACATGTAATGTGTTTGGAGTACAACAGTTATGAACATGTAATGTGTTTGAAGTACAACAGTAATCAACATGTAATGTGTTTGGAGTACAACAGTAATGAACATGTAATGTGTTTATAGTACAACAGTAATCAACATGTAATGTATTTGGAGTACAACAGTAATGAACATGTAATGTTTTATCGTTTAGAACACAATAATAATAATGAGTGGGTTCTCTCTGAACGATACGAGCTACGGAAACAAAGTTTAATCTTTAAGAGCAAAACACTGATTTTCATTCTAACTTGCTATATTTATCAAATATGGATTTGTGATAAAATATATTTTTAAAGATGGTAAATCCACCCAGTACACTGTGTCTATTTATAAATTATATCAAATAATTAGAACGTATTTCTTTCAGGTATTTAATCTTTTACTCTCCCTTCGACTTGACTTATAAGTTGTGCAAGTTCCTGCCTGTGAAGCTGGTACTGGCAGCATTGAAGGAAGTCTACAGGTGTAAGAAAGTCCACGATGGTGTTTTACATGCAGCCAAGCTCTATCCTAATGGATACCTAATCATGATCATTGCTGGAACTGTTAAAGGTGAGTAAAATTAAAGCTGAGGTACGTATCATGGTTATTGTAGCAACTGCGTGAAAAGAAGACTGATAAAATACTTTGACAAAAGCCATTATTTAATTATATCCTATTGTATTCCATATCTTGATTATGACAAAAACTATTATTCTAAAGAAAATTGTTTCTTAGGCCTTTTTCAGGGTACCATGCAAAACAGAATATGTACTTTGTGTTTAAACCTAGTATATAATATACCGAAACTAGCTAAACTAAGCTTTATCACAGGGCCTATTTTCTGAGATTATGCTTACCAAATTGTGAACTAAAAGGTTCCACGCCTGTGAGAGTTAAAACACCTAGTAAAATATTGATCATGACCTCCTCCACCTTTGGAATAGTGACATCAAAATACACTTTACTTTTACGTTAAACTCACCAAACACCCGGGATAATTTGGTACTTGTGGATTACCTGTTAATAAACTCACCAAACACCCGGGATAATTTGGTACTTGTGGATTACCTGTTAATAAACTCACCAAACACCCGGGATAATTTGGTACTTGTGGATTACCTGTCAATAAACTCACCAAACACACAGGATAATTTGGTACTTGTGGATTACCTGTCAATAAACTCACCAAACACCGGATAATTTGGTACTTGTGGATTACCTGTCAATAAACTCACCAAACACACAGGATAATTTGGTACTTGTGGATTACCTGTTGATAAATTCACCAAACACACAGGATAATTTGGTACTTGTGGATTACCTGTCAATGAACTCACCAAACACACAGGATAATTTGGTACTTGTGGATTACCTGTCAATAAACTCACCAAACACCTGGGATAATTTGGTACTTGTGTATTAACTGTAAATAAGTTCATCCAGCACACAGGATAATTTGTCTTTTCTAGGTTAACTATCAAAAACACTCACCAGATCGACAGGATCATTTGTCACTTATAGGTTAACTGCCCAGAAAAGAATATAGAAAGACAGCTCCAAAAGGTATCATCTTAACTAACACTATATTTTTTTATTTGGACCCCAAAAAGGCATCAACTAAGCTAACACCATCTTTTATTATTTAAACCCAAAAAAGGCACCAGCTAAACTAATGCCATCTTTTTTTATTTGGACCCCAAAAAGGCATCAACTTAGCTAACACCCTTCTCTGTTATTTGAACCCCTAAGGCATCAACTTAGCTGACACCATCCTCAGTTAGTTGAACCCACAAAGCATCAACTTAGCTAACAACATCCTCTGTTATTTGAACTGAACCTGCGAGAAACCAGCTTGGCTTTCTCCGTGTCAGTTTGAAAATTTAACAATTCAGAACATACAAACGTTTTATATCAATCATGATCATATCTGTCATCTCTTCTGTATCTCATAATAATTAATTAACACTAAATGAATTTACTAGTAATATTGTTGAAATTATTCAATGTGTGTTTTTAAAACTGATTGTTTAGTCATGTGAAAGACAGTCAGTTACATTTATAATCACCTTGATTTACAAACTAATTATATTGTACTTTGATATGTTCATATAAACAAGAACTTTGGTATAAACATGTGACATCTGTGTTTGTTCTGATTTGGTTTTTTACATGTGGGATTATGGATAGAAACTGTGGTGTAAACATGACATCTGTGTTTGTTCTGATTTGTTTTTTACATGTGAATATGAACTGTGGTGTAAATGTGTGATATCTCTAGGTAATGTGATTTGTTCTCTACATGTGGATATGAACTGTGGTGTAGACATGTGACATGCGTGTGTACTGAGCCAGCTGTAGTGTACACATGTGACACGTGTGTGTACTGAGCCAGCTGTGGTGTACACATGTGACACGTGTGTGTACTGAGCCAGCTGTGGTGTACACATGTGACATGTGTGTGTACTGAGCCAGCTGTGGTGTAGACATGTGACACGTGTGTGTACTGAGCCAGCTGTCGTGGAGACATACGACACGTGTGTGTACTGAGCCAGCTGTGGTATAGACATGTGACACGTGTGTGTACTGAGCCAGCTGTGGTGTAGACATGCGACACATGTGTGTACTGAGCCAAGATTAATAAATGAATTTGCACACTCTTAGGTAGAGCTATTTCCTGATAGTCAACTTTTGACTGAAACACACCAAGTGTAGTTGTCGCTCTTATCTGCCAGCATGTATAGAAATAACCACATAATGTAATGGGTCAGAAGGTAATACTAATTGATCTTTCAAACTTTCTAGTGGATTGAATAATACTTAGATCTATAGAATTAAACATGATGTAAAGAGTTTTTAAGCACATATTAGTTGGAAGCAACACAAGAAAAACGTCTGACCACTGGATGTTATCAGTAATAACCGTATTATGGAAGAGAAGTGGACATGAGTAGTATTTAGTATTAGAGGTCACAAGTGAGATTTCTTTGTGCTAACTTTATTTTGTAGCTTATTCTTTTTTCCTTCGTATTAAGATCTTTGTCTCACCTTTTGACAGGAAATGGTGGAGCCTTCTTAAAACTACTGGAAAGGCTTATCAGAGGCTTGTGGACTCCATCTGCTATCGAGTTTATGCAGCCTAGCTTGTAAGTACATTTTATGTAGCTGACCATCTTTATATGTATTATCATATAATAAACAAGCTTCAATTCTTTTGTACATTACATTTTTGTTCTGTATGGTGAGTACAAAAATGTTCAATATTCTGTGGTTTATGTGGGTAATTACCCTTTTATAGTTATGCTGATTTCTGATATATATCCTGTAGAATTAATAAATTGTTAACATTTTAAAGTATTTTAACATGTCCCTGGTTTTGTATTTTACAGCCCTACCAAAGCCTGTATAGCTGCAGCCACTCTTTTTATTCTCGACAAAAAGACAGATTTGATCTCGGCTCCTCATGCCCTCGTTTACTTTGGAATTGCTGTCTTTTTCATTTACTTCAAACTCTCGGCTGTTCTTCTGGGTATCTATGATCCTTTTGTACCTTTTGAAAATCTTTTCTGTGCTATTTTCATGGGCGGTGTGTGGGATGCTTTGGGTCGAGCAGTTTCTGCTGGAAAAGGAGATCATACACCTGCAAAAGTAGATGTTGCCAAAAATGGGAAAACTGAATCTGGGAAAAAGAAGGACTAATAAAACTGGAAAAACGGGCCAAGAACAATGGTAGGGATTAAAATATTGTAAATTATATTTGTTACTTTTCTATAATGAATTTGAATTGTCTTGACAATGTATGTTCTTCAGAGTGAAAGAAATTAATTTTGAACTTCATTGGCTGCAATTAGATCATTCAGGTCTGGTTCATACATCTGTCACAGGCAAATGCTGTACATGTGATGCAGTCACATATAATGACTTTGCATTAGAAGTTTCTTTCTGTATAAGGGATACATTGTGACTGAGCAAAGTGGTCACAAATGTTGAAATTATTTAACTTTGTCTTCTTTATGTTGTGAGGTTTCAGCCATATGACATGACATGTGAGGAATGAAGTTATCAGGCATCTGTAGACAAACATTCATTACTAGACATCTGTTATCAATTACAGAACACGTTACATACACATAACTTACATGTTAATACTAACATAGTTTACTAATTTTATTTTGTGTAGTTATCTTTTCTGTTATGTAAGTTCTGGTTAATTGTGCCATACACAAGGTGTTTATAGTTATGTATGAGTTAGGTAAGAGGGGGGTTAGTGTAAATAATACGTGTTCTGTAATGTTATTATCTCTTCACCACTTAGCACGTCAGGTAAGTGGAGTTAACGTGTGTCGAGTGATGTTATTACCTTCACCACTTAGCACGTGAAAATCAATTGTCCAGTTCATATGGATTGTCCTTTGTGATGTATGTTATGTATCAATACACAGTTACAGGGAGTCCAAAAAGTCTCATTTATTTGTCAAACTAGTTAAGGCCAAAGTAGAAGACCTAGTTCCAGACTTTAAAAAAACAAATACATGTTACAAGTGTGTTTATGATGTAATTCTAACGTGTCTCACACTGTTGGAGATCACCATGAATTTTATTACTTTATATACAAAGTTATAGATCTGAATAAATAACATCATTAAGTAGTCACAGGTTAATACATGGTATACGGTTATCATTAAGTAGCCATAGGTTAATACATGGTATACATTTATCATTAAGTAGCCACAGGTTAATACATAGTATACGGTTATCATTAAGTAGCCACAGGTTAATACATGTATATGGTTATCATTAAGTTGCCACAGGTTAATACATGTATACGGTTATCATTAAGTAGTCACAGGTTAATACATGTATATGGTTATCATTAAGTTGCCACAGGTTAATACATGTATACGGTTATCATTAAGTTGCCACAGGTTAATACATGTATACGGTTATCATTAAGTAGGCACAGGTTAATACATGTATACGGTTATCATTAAGTAGCCACAGGTTAATACGTGTATACGGTTATCATTAAGTTGCCACAGGTTAATACATGTATATGGTTATCATTAAGTTGCCACAGGTTAATACATGTATACGGTTATCATTAAGTAGCCACAGGTTAATACATGTATATGGTTATCATTAAGTTGCCACAGGTTAATACATGTATACGGTTATCATTAAGTAGCCACAGGTTAATACATGTATACGGTTATCATTAAGTAGCCATGAGTAGTCATTATCGACCATGAGAACATTGTTGCTAATTAATTATGAAATGTTTTTTTGTATTTTCTCATAAATTGCTCAACAGTTAATATTCCTGATAAAGTTGAGATAAGTGCCTTTTTTTTTTAGTAATCAAAGGATTTTATGTTTTTTGAAGTATTTTTTTAAATGTATTTTAATTAATTAATTTTGTAACTGTAATTTATATACTAATACCTAATTTTTCATATTTTCTCTTGTGTTTTATATATTCATGACAATTGATTTTTTAAGTGTAGTTTCTGTGATATTATCTTTTTCATGCCTTATCTCTTACCGACAGTCTTTGTATATTATAAATAACTCCCTAAATTATTTACCTTTTAATTCTTTCCCACAGGTTTATGGGCGTGTTTCTCTGGAAGCATCACTGTCCTTTATGTGTTCATTTCACAAAACTTATTTTCCATGAATTTAATACCACAAAATTTCCCTGTCAAAGAATATTAAAATGAGTGTGTGGATCACCAGTACCAAGCATGTTAAACAGATTGGTTTGTTTGGATATAATTTATTTTTAAAAGTTTATTCCTTCCACTATACACAAGGTAGAATTTTTGTCTCAAATATGTTCTATGGAAAGTGGTTTTTTTTAATAAGCCTAGATTTTATATTTGTGCCAAAAGATTGAAATTTATAAGTCATGGATGGTTACAGAGAAGCATACTGTTGTCCTTTACCATGAAAATTAAATCAGTTGTAACTTGTAGAAACATGATAGTGCTGCACAAAATTCATTTCTTCTTAGCCATCGGATGACAAATGTTTTAAAGTATAAAGATTTTAATAAATATTTCTTGTGATCATTTAAAGAATATAATTCCTTAAAAGTAATTAAGTACAAATAGATTAGTAAATAATTAAAAGCTATGATGCTCATCTATCCTATTACTTATTTTAATTAACAGATGATAGTGCTGTAGCATGTAGAAAGTTTTTATTTGGATATTTATTACTTCTTTCTGAACTTGTTTCCTACACAGGTATGTACATGTTTTTGTGTCGGATATCATGTATGTAATCACTGTTGTGTTAGTGATGTAAGACACTAAGTTTTAAGTAGATACATCAACTCTGTTTCAGTGGAACTTTAGACAGAGTAGATATAGTAGGTTTTGAGAACTTTAATGGTCTGCAATCACCCGAAGGCCTCACCTCGATGTGGTAGCTGAAACGTCGTCCCCTTTTCATTCAACGGGTAGTTACAGTCTATTAAAGTTCTCAAAGGTACATGAATTATTTATTGATTTTTAATTCTTAAAACTACAAAAAAAAACTGAATTTTTTTGTTTCCTGTATTTATTTGAAAAAAAAATTGACCTCTGTTAAGCTATTGTTTATCACTTGTTTCAGAACAAAGGTAATATTGAGAACCTGTAATGAAGAAGCTAAACATCATACTTAGTGATACATATCTTTTGATAATGTAGGGAGTGTTTTTAGTCACATTTTGATTTTATTGTGTTTTAAAGGCGTTACTTGGTATAAAACATTGATGAATGTAGATTCCCATGTTTTAATGCTTATTAAAAAATTCCCAAATACTTTTTGTCTTTTTTCTTAGTGAACAGTTTTGATATTAAATGGGACAAATGGTGTCCAATTATTTTAGCAGTTATTTGAAATTAAAAAGTTACAAGATGGAAGATCATTTTTAAGGTTAATTTTAAAATAGCAATTGTGATTTCTTTTAAAATACATATATAATAACAACTTTCAATCAGAGTTTACTATGTATGTAAAGTGCAACTAAGAATTAACATGACTATTAGTTCGCTATCCTCGCTGATAATACCTTCAGCTGTAAATTCATTAATACTTCTTGAATTTCAGCCAGCTTAGAAG